CGCCTTTCTGCAGATGGTCCTGTCTGTGAAAATCCCCACAGGAATCGACGTTTCCCCCTAAAACAGAAACGACACCTTGAACTCACAAGTGCAATACAATCACCATAAACTCGAGGAAAATCACGATAGAGCGACGGCGAACGTCATGTTATTATTTTTATTGGAAGTATATATGTTGTGTAGGCCGGAATGCGACGCTCCCCCTTGCTTGTGCTGCTGTGGGAGCGAAATAGAGAAGTTTGGAACAAAGCGGCAATGATTAAAGGGTCGAAAGGGCGGCACTAATCAGCGAAATAAATCCTGTTAATAAGATGCCCGCGAAGACTAATGGGCATAGACATCAAGAAGTGTCGGTAGCACGCCCTTACAACAGCCAATTTGTTGGCTGTCGCGCCTCGTATTGAGATAAATGGTAAATGGTTGGGCCTCGTTGCGGCACTGTTGTCTCTTTGAGGGCCTGCCGTTATCAGTTTCGGGGAGGCGAATTGAATTTTTCCGGTTCTCTCTCTTAGCGCCGATTAAAGGCGCCGCGTTTACAAACACGCCAAGTCGGAAAACAATTACACATCCATTCGGGGTCCATATCTCGCCCCTGCCAGCCAGCCAGCCACTCCAAGGAACAATAAAAGAATGGATCCATCCAGTTTGCCGCAAGGAGCGATAAAAAACCGTGAATATATTTTGTGTAATTGTGCCCCATAAGTCGGTTTTATTATCTTGCTCCGGATAGGCGAGTGCGACTGAGTTGCCGTGTTAGGGGCCCCCAGGGCCGCGGCACAGCACGTGAGCATGCACTCGTTTTCCCCCTGATATCTTAGCGCTCTCCCCATTCCCCATCCCGCCCTTTTACCACCCATGTAAACGATCCGTCCGGATACCATTTCGCATTTTTAACTAAACGCTCTCTTTTAACCTCCATCACACTGCTCCTTAATGCCCTCTATTTTTAACAATCTACGGCACTTTCATGTGAAGCTTTCTGTTCCATTCCCACATAGCAAAATGATATTCCCAGAATATACCTGGAACATTCATGTGGTGTACCTGTGACATACATGAGTTCTATTATGAATATGGCGACAAGCAGCATAGAGTAAGTAAAATATAGTAGTAACTTATTTTACTTTCTCTATGACAAGCAGCAGTTGCCTCCTGCTCCAATGTCAATCATGGAAAAGTGCTGAATTGTCACACCCCGGATATCACATCACTGATA